TAACCAAGGTTCAGGGTTCTCATTTGAATGATATGGACTGGGGGAGGTCAACCACTTGCTTCGAACAGAGCCACAAGTGGCCCCAGGGCCCTGACTTCAAGTTCTCTGGGTCATGGGTGGGTCTCAAGGCCCACCCATCCTGACACCCCAGCACTGAGAGTCCATCCCACTCCTCTCACCCTACGCTACCACACAGGCAGTTACAGCCCTGTCTACCTCCAGAGCCTGAGCTGGAGTGCAGATGCCCCCAGGTCACTGGGCCAAAGTAGCCAGAAAGTATAGCCAGGTAGCCATTGTGGGAGTGGAGAGGGATGTGGGCCAGAGGCTCACACAGGTCAGAAGCACTCTCAGGAGTGGAGAGCCTTGTATCTTGAGGTGCAGGGACAAAGAGAGGATACATAAGAAATCAAGAACTAAAGGAATCAGACAGAAGTGAGAATCTGCCCAACTTCTGGGGTCAAGAAGCTGTGAACTACGGAGCCCCTCCCATCCAAGTCCAAGACTGGCCTCCCAAGAGGTGAGGGACAACAGGGGCCACCTTACCAGAGACAGCCAAACAGGAGTGGGGGAAAGGTGGCTAACAGGGTCATCCGACTACAGTGGCATCGCAAACATTTTTGACAGGAATAATCAGAATGGATAGTCCATGAGCTGTACCCACTCTGCAGGGGGCTGGCAGGGCCAACCTTCCTGCTCCTTCACCCACTTGAAATACAGTGAGGCAAACCGTGCAGGCCTTGGGCCTCTAGTACAGTCACAGCAACACTGCAAATGAGGCGAGCTCCAGACCCGGGTTTGCAGTAAATCTATACTTCCTCCCACCAACCCCCCACTTCCTCCCTCGCAGGTTTTAATTAAGGGTTTCCTTGCAGAAGACCGAGCTCTATTTAACTAAATCCTTGGCCCCCTTTTATATTGTCTTCTCTATCGTTCTATGCCAGAGTGCCAGGAAAAGTTAATTATAACTTCTAAACACTCCATTAAGCCCCCTCCCAGTCTTCCTCCTTTGCCCGAGGCCGAGCGACTAAATCAGCTGGTTCATCGTGCCCTCCACAAACCTCATTCTGATTTTCTTCCATGCTCAAGGCTAAGCAGCCTTGGCTGAGCTAGCCTGGTCTCCATCTTCAGGCCTTCGGGGGCCCACAGGAGCCTACCAGCAGGTGAGTGGAGAAGGCCAGCTGGCCCAGAGGACTGATGACGTCAGGGTCCAGATAGGTAGCCACCAGCCACTAGTTACATGCCAAAGTGCAGCTTGCTCCACAAGGCATGGGGGTGGGGCAGAACTCTGGAAAGTGAAAACAAACCTGAAGGCCTAGTGATGCCTGTGAGGAGGAGTTTGGGGGAGCCTGGACAGTCCTTTGGCCCTGGAGAAAGCTGGAGGTATCCCACTGGTCTAGGTGGGATAAGTGCTGGGGGCCCTGTCTGTGGTTGAGAGGGAAGAACAAAGGAACCTCCCCACACACACACACACACACTTCATGGATCAGAATGGGGATCAAGAGACATGATAAAGAGGCAGAGGGGGCCCAGGACACAGGAGGGAGAACTGTGCAGAAGTGTCAGGTCAGGTGCCAGGTGCACGGAGCAGAGGCTAGAGGGGAATGGGGAGGAGGGAGCTTCGTACCCTAGGGTGTGCAAGGGCTGAGTCCAGAAGCTGGAAATGGGAATGAAGGCCGTGTGCCCCCAGCCAGGGACCAGGAGGCAGTCCTGGGCAGCCCAGCTATGAGCTGGCATCTTCGCAATAGGAATCCCGCCTGGCCTCCTCACCCAGGGAACTCTGAACCAGCCAGCCTCGGGGAGGGAAAGGACTCTGTGCTGTCTGCTGATCGTGGCATTGCCTGAGGCAATGTCCTCTGCTGATTCTCAACTTCTGACTAGGACAGAAGACATGAGAAATACGGAACTACTGCCCACCACTCCAAGGATACCGATGGATACCTGTCCTAATGAAAACACAGACATCCTTGCACGCTGGCAGAAGCTCAGTGGCAGTGTGGAGTAGGCTGCTCAGCCCCGGTCAGGTACCTAATCCTGTCTCACTGAGGGTCTGTGCTAGCTGTCACAACTCCTGGCTATCAGGAACTGGCCTGGAATGGAATTTCACATCTATCCCTGAGACCAGCAGGTGAGGAAGACATTGCCTGGGGTTCAGCTCCAGGGTCTGGGAGGCGGCACAGTCTGCAGGCTAAGAAAGGCTCTGGGTACATTGGGATGGCTGCATAGCCAAGGGGGACTCTTGTTCATGCTGCCCATACCTCCTGGATAGGCACACAGCACCAATCACCAGGAAAACCAGGTCTCCTCAGAGCCAGAAGCTCTGACTCTATCTGCTGCAGAATAGCGCTTCCCCCCCCCCACCTTGAAGGAGGGAGAAAACAGGACCATGAAGGAAATATGTTACCCAGATGACAATTCTGGAACCTTCCAGAGTTGCTGCCCATGACGCTGCCACCCTGACTCACTATCCAGATCTGCCTTTGGAAACCCATGGGGACCCCCTGTCCCACCCCCATTAAACCAGAAAGCCTCCATCACTCTTAGAATCAACCCCAACTCCTAGCCAGCTCTCCTCCCTGAACCTATTTTGTTTTCTGTCCCACCTCAGAGCCTATGGCAGCTACGCCCCCTCCAGCCCACAGCCGGTTCCACTCTATGTTCACCCTCCAGCCTAGTCCAGGGTCACCTTCGCAGGGTTTCCCATGACCACCCAGCCAAAGGCTACAGTACCATATCCCCGGGTCCCCAGGTCAATCCTCAGCAGATTTCTGCTTCTCTCTGTCAACCAGGCTACCCTCTTCCCACCAGACTAAGCAGGGCCTGGGACCTTTACTCTCCGCTGTCTCTGCACCTCACACAGGCTGACTCCTATGCATGAATCAGAACACTTTCTTCCGGTCTGTTCTCTGTCTACAGAGACAGCTGACTGCAGAGATCACACGTCAACACTCAGAAACGGAGTCTCTGAACATTTGGAAATGGTTAACATCCATTTACAGCCAGCCCCGCCAGCTCACCTCACCCCAGTGTCCCCCCTCTGAGCCTGCTCCCCTCCTGTCCTGAGGAAGTCCTGATACAGCAAACCTCAGTTCACAGAAGCAACTGTAGCATGCACTCCACACTTTACAGTCCACAAAGCTTAACTGTTTCTCCCACCCGCCTCCAGTCTGTCTTTGGGCAAAGGGAGCCTGACCACCATGCAAAATGGGGTAACTGGGGTCCAGGAAAGACCTCCAGCTGACACTGTCCCACTCAGGAAGCAGATCCTGGGTATCAGCCGAAGATGGTGAAGTCACACACGCTACTCCTAAGAGCAAGAGAGGCAACAAAGAGCCTTGTCACAGAGTCCTACTGCCTGAATCCGATTCCCAGTTCTGTCACATACTAGCTGTGTGACCTAGGGAGAGTTGCCTCACTTCTCTGGACCTTCATTGTCTACTCGATAGAGTGGAGGTAACAATAGCTGCTCTTGCCTGTCCTCAGGACTGAAGGAGGTAATTCTACACCGGAGGGCACAGAGTAGATGCTCAGGAAACATGTGCTGGACACACACACACACTCACACACACACTCACACACACACACTCGCACACACTCGTACACTCACACACACGCTCACACACACTCACACACGCACACGCACACATGCTTGCCTACCTCCCAGCCTGAATCTCCAAGCCTTTGGAAGTCTCTCTTCTCCAGCAGGAGCCACATTTCACCAAGGCAGAGTAAAAAAGAGCCTGCCACACGGGGCCTGCCACACGGGGCCTGCCACACGCCAAGTGCCTGGCCTGTGGTTACCCTCACGCAGCCAAATGGAGCCTCTCATCTTTCTCGTCATTCATAGCAAAAGAGATAAAGAACTACCCTGGGCATAAAGAACCTTGAAGAAGGCAGCCCGGAGCATGGCCAGGGAGGCACCTGGCTGTCACTGGCTTTGGTTACACACTCCCCTACCCTAGCCTTCACGTGTTCCAGCCCAAATGAGGCTGGATTGAAACTTCCCATTTGAAAAATCAATATTTAAAATGCCAAGCTTGCCAAGTGGAAGCAAAGCCTTGCTTGTAAATATTTGTTTCCAGTGGCAGAGCCAGGCCTCTCACTCGCTGCAGCTACCCACCTCACGGCTGGCCCCCTGCTCCACAGCTCCCAGCCAGCTGCACAGTGGCACACCCGGGGACTGCAAAGGACTGCAAAGTCTGGCAGCCACAGCCACTGGGGAGCTTCTCACGGGGGACGATCAACACGTCTATGTCTCCTCTCTAGGACAGCAGGCTTGTGCACCAGGCTACCCAGGAGCCATCCATCTGCCCACCCCTCCCCAAGGCAGACACAGAGCCACCTCACTATGACTTTTCCACAGATTCCAGCAAATTCCCTACTAGGTGTTAGGAGAGGAGCATGCTGGCTTATCTCTTTATTTTGGAAAAAGAAACACCCCCAGACAAAGCTCACATTCCCCGCAGAGTCAGGCTCTGCCGCTGGCTACACCAGCTGCTTCCCACAAGAAGAGCCTCAGGTGTCTATACGTCCATGGGGCCGCAGAGCAGAGGGCTGTCCTCACTGGAGGCTGAGCATATGAGTAGAGAACTTTCCCTGACATCACTGTTCCCAGAAACCCATTCACCTCTCACCAGCTCAGCCATTCATTCATTCATTCATTCATTCAACCAGTTGCTTTGTGAGTGCCTATGCCAGACACTCAGGACTGAACACACAGGTGGACTGTACACGTGGGAGCCCCTTTAGGAGAGCCTCCAAGATGAAAGACTACCAAGTCACAGTCAAGATCGGTGTTGTAAAGGGAGGCCTCAGGTGGGATGGGAGAAAGGTACAAGATCCAGTCTGAGAGGGCTAGGAAGGCTTCCCAGGGTGGTGGACAGGCCCAGGCCCAGGCTCAGGAGGTGCAGGGCAGGGCAGGGGTGACACGTTACTAGGAGAGAATAGCTCTGGATATCATACCCTCACAAGCACGCCAAGCGCGCTCAGCATGCAAGACCTACCCAGCCATTCATTGAACTTCTTCACCTCGCTTGGGAGCCCCAGCTCTGTGAAGTCCCCAGCGTGGATCAGCACGTCGCCATAGGGCATCTGGATGGGATCTGTCCTTGAGTGAGTATCAGAAACACAGACAAAGCGTGTGTAGCCAGGTGGCTTTGGGGCATCATGAGGCACTGGGTCCACCCTGCAGGAGAGAAGACGCTGCAGGTTACCGGGGTCACAGGGCTGTGATCCTGCAGGGTGGTGAGTCTCCAGAATACAGCCCTCCCATGCTCCTCACCCCATCAAACCAGTGTCCAACTGAACACGAGCCTTCTAGAGGACCCAGAAAAATGTCCTTGTCCCCTGAGCCTCAGCTTCCTCTGTCCTGTGGTGTAAGGGTTAATCTCTACTGTCTGCTTGGTGGAATTTTGGATCACCATAAAAACACAGGCCTGGGAGTGTCTATGCGGATGTTTCCCCTAAAGTTTTCACAATGAATGGAGAGGGCACCATTGTAGTTCCAGACTGATTTAAAAAAAAAAAAAAAAAGGAGAGGTGAGCAGTAACGGTCATCTGACATCGGACACAGTGTGACCAGCTGCAGCACGCTCCTCCCGCCATGACTCCCCAGCTAGGACAGACTGTATCCTCGAACCATAAGCCAAGATAAACCCTTCCTGGTTTAAGCTGCTTCGTCTGTATTTTTTCTTTTGTGTTTTATTTTTGATTTGTTTTGGGGGGTGTTGTTGTTGTTGTTTGGGTTTTTTGGGTTTTGTTTTTTGTTTTTTGTTTTTTGTTTTCTTGTCATAGCAACGGGGGAACCTCAGAGGACGGCTATGAACGTCTGATCATCAAGCCCACATACAGCGCCTACAATTCCAGCCGAGCTGTTCTGGACGAAAGCAGCATTTCCCAGCTTTGCTCACCACTTCTGGGCCCGTGGAGCTTTCACCACAGAAACACTCTGTCTCCAGTGCTAACTGTCTCTGCTTTGGCTAGAAGTCAGATTGTTTTTTCAACCTCTCAAAACATCTTTTACCCCTGGGGGCACTATTGCCCCGCTGACACTGGGTAACCTGAAATCCCTGATTCATTCAAGAAAACTAGTTCTGAGTTCAGCACTGAGCACAGTGCAAAGGATGTAGAAGCCCCATCTCCAAGAAGAACAGCAGGGGAGGGGCCCCAAAAGACAGGTGACAGTTTCAGTCATTTTGATACCTAGAGCCTTCTGGGATTGTGCAAGACAATACCTCTGCAGTCAGAAAACCAGGTCCTTGAGCCCAGCTCGGGCACTGTCACTTAGACAGAAGCAGAACTTGGGTTTGCACTTGAACATTCCAGAAATGAAAAGAGCATAGCAGAAGCTCCATCCCCGTTCCCAGGAGCCCCAGCAGCTGGCTGAGGACCCCACCATAAGCCCCTCATCCCATGTTCTTCACAGAGCGTATACACATCCTAGTGACTTCACCAGGCTCACAACGCTTAAAAACAACACGATGACATTTCAACAAGCAGCCCTCTCCAGACGAGTATGCCGCTGGAGGAGTCATGTTTAAATCTAATTATGCGTCAAACCAAAAGCAGCACCGTATCAGTTACATAAATACTTTTAAAGACATCTTTCTAATTATCCTTTTTTTTTCAGACAATATACTTCGAAGAAATTTAATTAACACCTTATGAGAGACATGGGTTCAGCATGCTAATGTGTACGATGCATCCTCCTGCTGGGTCTGCAGCAGGTGGAGGAACCATGCCAGCCTCTCCCCATTCCTCAGGCACCACAGAAGGGAAGCACCCTTGGTCCCCTTTGGGGATTGTTAAGCCTAGACAGAGCCCCAGCAGCTTGGAGCTAAGCTGACTGGGAAGACAGAAATTATCCAAATGAGTCCAGTAATGGGCGGCCGGGAAAGCACTGGGCTGGCACTGGGCTGGCACTGGGCTGTCATCTCCTCTCTCTATCCACACATTCTGTGTTCAATTAGCACAAGTCCTGAGGACCTAATTGGATCCCACCTCCAAGCCCAGTGAGGGCCAGAGGGGTGAACAGGCTAGGATTCTGACCACCAGGAGCTCCCGATTTGACTAGAATGTGACCCTGTGGTTTCCAGTGGTGATGGGGCAACAGAAGACCTGAGGATCAGAGAAAACCATCGAGGCTCTGGGTTCCTGGAAGCTTCCAGAAGGAGGCAGTATATGAACAGCTCTAGAAGGGAAATCTCCCTGCAATTCTCACCTTCCCTGGTCCTCTGGGACTCAGCATCTTCTCTTCAAGGCAGTCTAACAGGCTGGGGCCCAGGGAGGTTTCCACCTGTGCTCTCTGCCCATCCTGACAGTGCTGACTGGACCACAGGCAGCAAATCAACACTGGACTACTAGTGGACACAGGCAAACCAAATAAATCCATTTGTGCTCCCACCCATCATGCACAAACACATGCACCCCCTCACACACACACATATACATACCACACACTCATACACACACCCTGCCCCCACCCCGACACACAGGCACACATACATATCACACACATATATACTCCCTACCCCACTCCCCCCCACACACATATACCAAACACACCACTTTATAGAAGACATAAAGTTATAAGGACCACCTCAAAAAGATCAAGAGAAAGGAAGAGGGAAGACACAGGGAGCACGGTGGGATCCAGCAGTCTCCTTAGAAGGCGACCTGGCCACCAGGCAGCCGAGGGCGCTCATCAACAGGGGCGGCTGTGGGAGCCGGAGCTCTTTAATTAACTTTACCTTATTTCCCTGCACCCTGAGGCTTCTGAGCACAGTGAAGACAGAAGCCTAGAGATCCCCAGAGAGCGAGTTAAAACCTCCTTTCCCCAGCTCAGTTCTGCGGCAAAGCTGTTTGCCCAACCTTGCAAGAAAAGATAGCAAGCTTCACTCCCAGTGTCTGGGAGCTCAGCACAGACTGAGCGGTGTCTGCATTTGTTCTCCTCTCCTTCTTGTAACCCTCTTCCCAGTATCATGCTGGTGTTCCCATTTTAGAGATGACAAAACTGAGGCTCAGGGAAAGGCTATTTCACCCAGTCTCAGCCACAGAACCTGGTTTCTGGGAGTTAGGGAGATCCTTCAGTGAGTAAAGTGCCTTCAGCTCTGCTCCCAAAGGCCATCCTGGACAGCACATGCCTGGTGTCAAGCATCTACAAAGGCCTCATAAGAGATGTGTTGTTCCTCAGTTGCCCCAGAGAAGCATGGCGCTCTGAAGTCTGAGGATCCTGTAATGCATGTAGCCATGGGACTGGGCATTGGCCGTGTTGCTTGAGGATTCTGAAAGTGAGGAGACTGGAGCCCAGGACAGGCCGTGAGTGGTCAGCTCCATACCACACAACTGCCCTGACACTCTCTGTGTAGTGCTCTGTCCTAGGCAGGCAGGTTCCAAGGTGACCTGGCCACCCTGCCTACACACATCTCTTGGCCTGTACTTCCCGCTGCCTCTCAGCCTTCAGCTAGCTGTCCTTCCAGCTGGGAAAGCCCACACTGCTTCCCTCAATGATGTAGCACCTCTCAGCTCCAGACCCTCCAAGATCCCCAGAGCTCTTCCTGGACATAGCCTTCCTCTCGTTCCCTTCCTTCTTCCCATTTGCTGCACTAGGAACAACAGGTACAGAGACACCTAGGAACCCTACCTAGGGAAGAGTACCGACATCTGGGGCAGGGCCAGGAGATTTGGAGAAGTTTTTCCTGCAGAGTGACACATCCAGGATGTCTATAGAGCGCGTGGGGTGGAGAGCTAGACAAGCCAGGAAACAGCCTAAGTAGAGCTCTGAGGCTAGGGCTGTGGAGATGACAGGAAAGCATTTCCCTCAGAAGCACAAGAACCTGAGTTCCATCCCTAGGACCCAAGGGAAAACCAGACAGAGGTGCACGCCTGTAATCCCAGCACTGGAAAGGTGGAGGCAGGACTGACTTAGCCTTAGCAGTAAGATTCAGGTCTCTAAAATCCAGGGGGACAACTCCTGAGGAGACACACCTGAGGTTGACTTCTGGCTTCCATGTGTATGCATACACACACACATGTGCAGATATGTACACATGCACACATGTGCAGATATGCACATATATATACACACACTGTACAAACATGCATACATACACATGTGCACATGATTACAGGCATGTACATACATATATGCACATACACATGGGCACACACATTCATATATACACGCACTTGCACACACATAAGACCTGAAACAAGAGGAAGGATGGAAGTTTCAGGAAGCAGAAGTGTCTGCTGCATCTGTTGCCCAGGCATGGAGAAAGGGCTGAGTCCTCTCCTCCTGCTTTGCCCCTGGCCCCACCCAGTTCCAGGCTGAGCCCTCTTCCTCTCAGCTGGTGAGCAGGCTGAGCTCGGTGCACAGGGGCAAGTGGGTGTCCTGGCTCTGTGTGCTCCCCTTCAGAAGTCCTGGGGTTTCCCTCTGCAGAAAGTGGCTCAGGAATGGACCCAGTCAAGGGCAGGGACCAGGGACAGAAGGTTCCTCCCAGCCTAGCTCTCTCCTTCCTTTCTCTACATTCTCCATCACACAGCACTATCCGAGGGCCCAGATGACATTTAAAGGATCTGTCCTGTATCTCCAGTGACTCCAAAAGGGCAGAGGGAAGAACTATTTGCTTAACACTAATTATCTCCACCCCAGAGACACCTCATGGCAGACTCCAGTAGCCCGTCCCTCCCTTTCATTGCCCACCGCTACTCCTACATGCCCAGGGTCTTGATGCCTGGAGGGCTCTCCTGAGAAGCCCCTGAGGTTTCTCAGTCCCAGGACCCATAGCTAGAGGCCCCAGTTCTAGACAGTCATCACTCAGGCAAAGACAGACAAGTTACCAGCAGGGTCTCAGGGGCAGCTGAGTAAATCATACAGCTCAATCAGAGGCCACGTTGACTTGTCACTGTTATTATTAAATATAAATTGTGTATTTATTAAATAGGACCACCGTTCTCTCACCCCAGAGACAAAGCCCCTGGCAGTGATAAATCACTAGGCAGGGAGCAGCGATCATTCTGTATACCTCTCCTGGAGGCGGAGTGGCTACTTGCCAGGGAAATCCCCAGCAGCCTGAGGACCTCAGATCTAGAGTCTGAATGGAAGGGACAGGAGGCAGTGATCCCAGGGTTCTGTGCCTAGCCAGACCTTCAAAGTTCTCCTTATGTTTCTTCCTGAGCCCTACCCATACCCCTGTGGCCGTTCAGCCCATTGCTCATGGATACCAGGACTCTCACTGCCCAGGAAGGCATCCCATAGAGCAGGCCAAAGGGGAGAGGTCCAGACAAGGGAGACATCAGCCAGACAACAAGAAAGTCACCATGCTTTTTCTCCATGGCTTTTACGGCTACAGGTGTCCCACACTGACATGCTGTTAGCTCTGACATCGTGCTGCTCCCTCTCAGCAGATGCCTGAAGCACAAGGCCAGGGAGGGCAGGCAACTGATCTCTTTAAGCACTAAGCTCCACGCCCAGGCCTGAATCAAGCTAAGACGATGACCACCAGCCACTCACGTGGCTCCACTGCACAGAGACAAATGCACAGTTGACACCACTGCAAACAGCATCTTTCAGTTGGGGAAACTGAGGCACTGATGAGAGACGTGAACCCTACCCAGGTAGGCCAGCTTATTTTTCCAGTCAACAAGCTGCCTAATTGTTTCTAAGGAACATGAACAAAGAAACAAGTGAAGGAGGTGGGGCACTTGCCTCCACATCACTGGTCAAATCAGTCCCTCAATGCCCTTCACCAGGACAGTCTGGCCCCAGGGCCTGTAGCCAGCCCTTTTCTCCTACACAGGCCCTGTACCCAGCTAGCACCTCTGAAATGCTCAGACACCCTCTCCTCATTGCATGCCCTTCGACTCTACCCTTCTACTCATGCTTGGCTCAGGGAATCCTGATACCCCTTCCCAAACACCACTCCGCCATCTTCAGAGTCTCAGTGGAATCCTCCTTATCCAGAAGATCATTCCCAGACACCCTAAAACTGACAGACACCCCCCCTCAGCTTTCCTCTCCTTTCCTCCTATATGCATGGCTTTTTTCTCAGGCTAGGGTCTCCATGGGACTACCTAACCCAGGCAGAAGCATCTTCCACGGTAGCCCCACAGGGCAATAGCTCTGAGGCCAGTACATTCACAGATGGGTGTGCCTACAAACCCAGGTACATATCAGCCCCTGCTGCTCCATCTGAGGGCCTAGGGCTCTCCCTCATTCCCACTGGACAGGCTCAGGACTTCAGTCCAGCATCAGGGACTTCAGCATCATCTCTGATCCTACCAACAAAAGAGGGAGCCTAAGCAGACAGAGACTGGCCTCAGGCTGCCAGGTTCCCAAGGTCAAGAAGAGGTGTGACCTCAACAGGGGATTCAGCCTGTGTAAATCCTCCAGTCTGCCTGCACACACCCCAAAAAAGGACACAATACTCAGATAGATATCCCCCCAAAACTACACCTTCTTACCACGCGGAATGAAACTCCCACTGGAAGGAGCATCGCTGCAAGTGTTGCTGGGAAAACAGACATTCTGTATTGGAATCCCACTTCAGACCACACAACAGCCACAGTCAATGCCTTTCTCCCAGGGAAGTATCTCCCCAGCATAGAATGTGGGGTTGAAGGAAGCTACACAGGAAGGAGTGGCCACGCACCACTCTGCTACCCTCTGCACGCTGGGCTTGGAGAACTCACCCATTCCTGGTACCTTGTCCCTGAGTGACAGATGTTGGGACCATGTGAACACACACACTCTTCAGAAATAGGGCTCCTGATCCAGAGGAGGCTTAGGGTCTACACCCCCAGGAATAACATAATGTTCTGGAGAGGGGCTAGGAACCCCGCAACACTGGATCACCCTGCGTAGCTGCTGTGTCCTTGCCCTGTCAGTAGGAAGCCAGCAGTCTCTCCCCTCTGTGTGAGATCAAGGTGACTGTGACCCAGAGCAGGAAGGCACTCGAGACAGTGAGAAAGTGTGTGTAACTGAGAGGAGAGGGCGCTGAAGCCCAGACCTCCTCCATAGGACACTTTAGAAACTTGGGGTCAGACAAAGGGAGAGGAGACAGCTAGTCCAGGATGGGGTCCTAACCTACTCCTGGGCCTACAACAAGACCTTCTCCCTCTCTGTGACTCAGTTTCCCTGTTGGGGGAAGTCAGACTAGAAGTCTTGAGCCACACCCCTAGGCACAGCTGAAACTTGGCCTCTAGATATTCCACCCACCCCGTCCCACCCTCCAACCCTCATTCCACCACGTCATCACCCCCAACCTTCACCCCCACCTCTACCTCACCCTCCCTGTCCCATCCCCCATCCTCCCACCCCACCCCCAACCCCAACAAGGGAGCCTGGGGTTCATAACTTCTGGTTTCATCATCAAATCTTAGATCTCTCCGTACAACCATCTCATTTCAAACATTTCTAAAGCATGCACCAAGTCCAATAAAACAGGACGAAGGGCCAGCATGGGTCCCTGGGGCCACCAGTCTGGGGCTTCCCTCAGATCCCTCCCAACTGTAGCCCAGGTGGTCCCGCAACAGAGAGCGGTTTGGGGCGAGAAGCCCCGGACTGTTTGCGGGTGTACCAGAAGCCAGGAGGCACCCGCGTCCCTTTACCCACCGGTCCCTGCGCATCTGCACTTACATCTGCACGTGTGGTGGCTGGAAGCGGCCCTGGTTGATATTGTAGAAGGTGAAGGCCTGGGTGGGATTGGAGCTGTACTCGTCCACCTCGATGATGAGTCGGCCATGTTGGTGCCGTCGAGAGGCCATCACGTGTGACTGAGAGAACGCCATGCCCAGGCCACAGGGGAGCAGGGCCAGGGCTTCGGCCTTCAGGATGCCAGCATCCCACCTAGGGCGCCACATGGACCTCCGTGGGCCTCCCGGGCATCTCCCACCACCACCGCTGCCACCACCACGACCGTTGCCGGGTCCCCCGCCAGACCTGCGAACAGACTGAAGAGACGGAGCAGAACCATGCGACAGTTAATCTGTTTGGGATTTGTTTTATTTAATGTCAGATGAAGATTTAGAAAGAGGGAGAGGGAGGGTGGGGGAGGGACGGGGGGGGGGAGAGAAACACAGTCGCGCACAGCTCAAAAACTCATTACAAATCTTTCCATCTCAGCAGTTTGATGAATATACTTTGGTTAAAAAAGAAGAGAGAACGGAGGGAGGGGACCATGGGGGAAAAAAAGCGGAGATGCCATGGACGGATGCATGCATGGTCCAACATGTTTAAATACTTCAGACATTTTTTCCCCTCCGACAAGATTCTCGGAGCCTACAGAGTAGCTGAGCTGGGGATGAGACAATGGCTGGTGTTTTGTAAACAGGGAAGCTAAGTTTTTATTTTACAGATATGGGGAACAGGAAGGAGACCCCCCACATAACCCCCAAAACACATCCACAGAGCCACAGACACACCCCAGCAAGCCCATGCAGGTGGGGACTGCACAGGGTGAAAATTTCTCCTTCAACATAAATTTACCTTCAAGACATCTTTCAGATGCACCCAGAGAAAGGGGATTTCCAAGCAGACTGAGCATGCAATTCCTAGGCTGAGGCAGGGTGGTAGCCCCCAGGGGTGGGTGGAGGGAGGCTGAAGTAAGAGGATCTCCCTCCTCATGCTGTGCCCTGCCCTCACCAGGATCCCAGGAATCCCAGATCTATGAGCCTGCTTAATCACAGTGAGAATTCTATAGTTTTGGTTTTTTTTTCTTTCTTTCTTTTTCTTTTTTCTTTCAGTGGGAAGGTGTGATTTTATTGGACTAAAACTCCCCTGCAGCAGATTCTGAGCCAGCTGTGTGGAGCCTGAAGACACAGCTCCGGCAAGTGAGATGGCATTCTGTCCTGGTGGTTTTGTGCCTGGTTATTCACACTGTGGTTCCCTCATGCCTGTTCATAGTAATTTTTTATCTGTGTGAGAAGGCAGGGACTTGAAGAATTTTTTGATTTGGTTTGGTTTGGTTCGGCTTGGTTGTTTGGGTTTTTTTTGGGGGGGTGTTTTGTTTCGTTTTGTTTTGTTTTTTGCCTTGTTGTTTGAGGTTATGCTTTTTAATATCCCTCCAGGTCCCCTTTGCACTATATTTAACCAAGGAGAAAATCATGTAGTTTAAATGATTCCTGGACACTGGAATCCCAAGCACATGAAAGGAAGAAAAATCCCCCTTGCTTTGTGCTCGGAAAGGAAATCAACACACTCCAAAAACAAATTAGATTATAAAAATGACAAAAATTAGAGACTGGAGAACATTTTAATTATGTGCAAGAAGAAACGGGTTATTAATTCTTAAAAAAAATTCTCAATCATCCCCATACAAGGTAAAATAAAATAACAATAATCTCTTTTCTTCTCAAAACATGGAGAGAAAGGGGTAGTCCTGTCAGGCAAGGTAGGGTACCTCAAAACAAACAAACAAACAAACAAACAAACAAATGAAACAGACAAACAAACAAAAAAACCCAGGAGAGCTAGATATGATGAGATACACCTGTAAGCCCAGAATTTGAGAGGAAGAGGGAGAGAGAGACAGGTGGTCAGGAATTCAAATCATGTTCCCCTACACAGTAGGTTTGAGGCTAGCCTGGGCTACATAAGACCTTGTGGCTCAGCAAGTTATGAGCATTGGCTGCTCTTCCAGAGGACTCAGGTTCAATTCCCAGCACCAACATGGCAGTTCACAGCTGTCTATAACTCCAGTTCCAGGGGATCTGACATACATGCAGGCAAAACACCAATGCACATAATAAAAATAAATAAATTATTTATAAAAAATATTTTCAAAGGAAGGAAGGGAGAGAGAGGGAGAGGGGAGAGAGAGAACTGAAACCCCAGCCCAAAGCATCTGGCCCCACCCTGCTCCCCACATCTGAGTCACTGTCCTCCTGTCCAGCCGCTCATCCTTTACCTCTGAGCAGACAAGGTCTTGGACAGGACCTTCCTGCTGGGGTCCTGTGAGAAGCCTTGGTATCTGCTGAGGGCAGAGCACCCCTGAGTCACTCCTGTATGCCACCAGCTGTGACCAGTGTGCCCTACACTCTCATGGGCTGTCTGGTCACCCACAAAGTGAAAAGAACAAGAATCCCATAGTCCCAACATCAGAGTCATGACTAGTAAACAAGATGATGCCCATGAAAGCTGTTTGTCACAGGGCTGGTGGTACACAGCAAGTGCTCAATAAAGGCAAGCTGTTCTGATCTCACATTAGCCTCTCCTGGGGGGGCCATCACAAAGCTTCAGAGATGTTGACAATATGGATGGATGGATGGATGGATGGATGGACGGATGGATGGATAGATGGATAGATGGAACTGATACATTAACAGATGCACACATGGATGGACAGTGTCTGGCCAGACTCCTTCCCTAGCACCCAGCACCAGCCTGGCAGTAGATGGGTGTCTGAGGAGCCTCTGTCCTCTTTCCATGCCAGCCCCATTCCATCAGCCCTCAGGGTGCCGGCCACACTGGACTAGGTTTGGATAAAGGGGAGTCCAGGCCAACACACACGCACACACACACACACACACACACACACACACACAGAGAGAGAGAGAGAGAGAGAGAGAGAGAGAGAGAGAGAGAGAGAGAGAGAGAGAGAG